GTGTATATTTTTTTTTTGTATTTTTAATTTTAATTTATAATTAAAAGAATAAATTAATGAAATACCCGTATTTTTTTTCAATGAAATAATTTCATTTTAATGGTATTTAATCTTAAAGTCCTAAAAAAGTATACTCAGCACAGTTACAGATATTTAGTACTTTATTATTTAAAAGAAAATTAAGACAATTTTGGGGATTATTTGATTAATTTTTTTATTTATAAATGCTTATCTGAGTGCTTTTTTAAGCGCTTTTTTTGATGATTTTAAGTGCTATAAGTCCCGAACCCTGGTAATGACGAGTGTATTACGACATAGCTGATAGTAAGCGAATGACGCCACATAAGGAAGATTCGTAGTAAAAAATATTTAATAAAAATGTAATATTGACTTGTATCTTAAAAGAAGGATACAATTTATCCAACACCNGCATATTTCTCCCACTCTTTCCACATAGGCCACGCCTCTCACTTCCCCTATCGGGCTGAATGCCCTTTTTCACCCTACTACCAATATTTTTATTAATTTTTTACCAAATATTAAAGAATTTTGTAAAATTTATACTTTATTAAAAATTAATTTTGAACGGTATTAGCCATAAAATAAACTGAAGTAAAAGTACATACAAGTTAAAGTCCAATATTGAAATAATTATTTTAATTATTATAATTATGAACCGATAAATAATAAATATCAAATCTAGTACCGTTTTTACAAGTTGTTTAATCATTACAAAATCATAGAGAAAAAATTTAATAAATTTTATAGATTATAAAAATTTTGTTAAATTCACTATTTAAGTATACAATTTTAAGTTTAAAAAATAATTATATAAGACTTGAATTAATTTTGATTGGATGTAGAATATATTTATTAATCAATATTTAATTTATTAATTAATATTGAGTAATGGCATAATTTTATTTTAGCTCACAATTTTTGTCATACAATGTAATAAAACAATTTTGATTTGGGGTAAAAGTCCAACTTAGCTCTAAAAAAATAAATTTTATGCTTATTATGAAGTAAATAAAGTTTATGTAAAAAAATAATCCATTTAACAACAGAAAAGTATAAATTCTGTGTTTACTTGAATAACATATTTTAGTATAAATAATCATATCTTTAATGTAGAAAATGTAACAAATTCAATGAAAATATTTGAAAAATAGTATGAACAACAGTAAATAATACTAAATTTTTAGTGTTTGTGCACTAAATTGTTTATGTGTGGAGGGCCTATTACAACACGTTCTTTCATTTTAGTTTTTTTGTAAAAAAAAATCTCGTTTATCAAATACTAAAATCGTTTGATTTGATTTTAAAATTTTATTTAATTAACTTTCTTACTTTAGAAATTTATTTTCATATTTTTTGGTATTTTTGAAGGTTTAACTCGTCAAGGTTTAATATATTAATACAACAGAATTCAAGTCCAGAGGTCAAATTTTTTTTTTTATAATAAAGTACATTACATTAGCTTTAATTTAAGATATATATAAAAGTGTCAGACCTTCCGGAATATTTTCAAAAGTTAATTTTTTTGTGAAAAAGTTGTCATTTTAAATCCCCCCCTGTGGGCAGGTTATGTGTCAAATTTACAAAAATTATATACCAAATGATAAGTAAAAACATCAAGCATCTATATAAAAAAAAATTATATTGATATGTTCTTTTTTGAAAAAGTTACGGCACATTTTAGTAAAAAAAATTGAAAAAATTTCGAAAATTAGCGATTTTTAAATTTGTAATTTTTTTGGAGGTTTCCCCCATTTACGGGGAACGAGGGAATTTTTTTCAATTTTTAAGGGTAATGTCTTCGACTAGATACGATTTGTGATCTTTTGACGTATCGTTGAAAGAAATCCGTTCGGTGAGAGCTGAGAAAAAGTGGTAACAGACACAAAAAAAAAAAAAAAAACACATCATAGTAAAACCAATACCTTCTCAGCTTCGCATCGAAGCTAAAATCAAATCCAAAAGTGTAGTGCATTATGAATTCTTGTCGCCAGGTTAAACGATTAGTAAGGAGTACTAATTACAATTTCAACGTCGTTTGCGTGAAACAATCCGAAAAAACCTTCGGGATTTGTGGAAAAAAAATTCATGGCTTCTGCAACAAAATAATGCATCTGCTTACAATTTATAGTTTTTTCCTGAATTTTTGGCAAAAATAATACTGTAACAATGTCCTAGCGTCAATATTAGCCAGAAATCGCTCCGTGTAACTTTTTTCTATTTTTAAAAATAAAGAGAATCTAAAAGGCCATCAATTATATTCTGAGCACACTTCTTATATGTACAAAATATATCAAATAGAATACTAATATTATAAGTTATAACATCATATTATATTAAGTAACCACGGCTTTACCAATTAAGAAGCAGAAATATAAAGTAAATTATACCCCAAATGTAGTCAAAACTTCAAAGTTTCATTACGTTTTTATTTTCTTCACTAATAATCAGATTCAATAAAAGTGTCGTTGTTTCCCAAACATTTTCAAACGTTTAGTTCAAAAAACTTAACTTGCGTGAAAAAATTGTTTTTTGAATTATCCTTGTAGGCAGGTTTAGAGTCAGATTATCAAAAAATTTATACGAAATAAAAAGAAAATACCCTAAATTTTAAAACAAAAAAAAAATATATTTAAATTTTTTTATTTTTCAATAAAATATGGCCGTTTAAAGTATTAAAATATTTTATGTTAAACAGTGATTTTTACAAAAAAATTACATTTTTCGTTAAACTCGACGATCATTTTCTCACAGATGGAGATTTTCTCCATATAAAGAAATCAAACATTTTTAATCGATATTGTATATACTTTGGGAGTAATCGGTGGTTTATTATAAACAAATCACTTGTTGATGCACCACACTAGAATGGCGTTTTACCTTAAAAATGTTTAAATCGCTATTATTGATGCGGTAGTGGGTCACCTAGGAAATGACGGCTAACGACACATCGCATAAGTATCGAGAGTAGAAAATAATTAAATAACAAATAACCACATATATTAGAAATTCTTTCAAGCACAAAAAGTTTTGCTTGAAAACCGTGATTGTTTTAAAACGCGGTTAGGCGTTGTACAAATCTGCGTATAATAAATAAATAGGTACAGGTAACTTACATGATTGTTCGTGTATAATACGAAATATTTAACTATATTTATCTCGTGTAATTAAAAAAACTGTATGGCTATTATAAAATCATTTAAAAATAATATCAGCCATTTTTTTTCAAATAACGGTTTATTCTAAAAATCTACAATTTTTTTTGGCAATGATAAAATATTTTTTTTAACAATAATAAAACTTATTTTCATATTGACAAAGGCTCCAAATTTGATAAATTTTTTTCTTGTCATGAACAATAACTATTTTATTCGTATTAATAAAACATTATTATGAATCCTTAATAAAATTTCTCTATCAAAATTGATTAAGATTTTTCTTTGAGTGTAGATTGCCGTTTTACCTTAAGCCTGTTTAAACCGCTATTATTGATGCGGGAGTGGGTCACCTAGGGGATGGCGGCTAACGACACATCGAATAAGTATCGAGAGTAGAAAATAATTAAATAACAAATAACCACATATATTAGAAATTCTTCAGAGATTGTCTTAAATTTAAGGGATAACGGAGGCCCTTAAATACTAATGGCCGGCGAAGCGGCATAAAACAACATAGTTAATCTCAATTTAAAAAAACAATAAATAACATTAGAATTAATATAAAACTCAGATGAATAGATGAAGTTGTTGATAGTGATGAGTGGTCAGTATGAGATCTTGTGGCAATGGTGTCGAACATTTGAGTATGACGAGTCAGAGTGTAGTTCCAGGCACGTAATGGCAGGTGAGAACAGGTGTCGGAAAGGCGACTAAGGCAATGAAGATATTTAGTGATGGTCAGGGCTCAATCACTAATGGCGTGCAAGGGCACGAGAAATTGAGCACGAGGGCACAACAAATAAATATTAAAAACTATGGCGTACAAAGGCCGAACAATTTACCATTAAAGGGAAGGCGCTTGCTACAGAAAAATAAATGACACATAAAACTGGCTGACTGACTTATGACAATGAAGTTTATACGGATGACAATTGACACGGAGATCATCGATTTGGTGTGCTGGGTGGCCAAAGGAGTGAGTAAAGTGAGACGCTGGAGATGAGCTGTCCCACGAAATAATATAAACAACGATGTTAGTAACAACTGGTCTACTAAATATTTGTTAAGGCGTTCTGTACCAAATAGATATTCACTACCATATTAAACGGTTTATTTGTATTTAAATAATTACAAGTATCTACTTTATTTAGTCTTTAAACTTTTGAAGAGTAGTATACTATTTAACTTATTCTCCATATTTAGTGAATCAAGCCCTACACATCTATTTCATTTCTGTTTTCTTATTTTAATTTACTACTGGTGTGTGTGTATGTGTTCTGCCGTGTCGTGGATCTACGATAATACTTCATTTATAAATCAATTCAAATTGGGGTTAGAAATTAGAAAAAATTATATTCCACAAGTATAATTGTTAAGACTTGTTATTATCAGTGCGTCAGTACTAGTGCGACAACGGCCGCAATAACCTATCCGCTAGCTCCGCTCAATGTCAATTAATTATAAATTGTATAGAATTTATATTTGTGAATTAATAAATCATTTTAATATTAATTACTTAAAATTATATTGTTGAGAATTTCATTTTATATTATACAGTCCGCTAATTATAAAAACAGAAATAAAATAACACACGAACCATTACGTGGCGTTAACATATGGTCCTATCGTTACGGATCGATTTAAGTGCGATCGTGAATCATTACGCGACTGAATTTGCAAGGATTAAATAAAATACTACCAGAAGTATTAGTATTGAGGGTAAGTGAATTATATTGTAACATAGTGGTGGGTTGTTAAGTAAATCGATCGTTCGTTGCGCATATATAGAAATAAAATTGCAAAAACCCAAGTTCAACAGTCAACATGACAACAGGTGAAGTGAGGAATGAGTTAGCAGTATGCATTATAAGACGAGGACAGATAAAGGCACAGCTAACAAAATTCCAAGCATTTATAAATGACCTAGCGAATCATAACAATCAAACCCAGATAGGATTGCGTTTGGAGAAAATAAAAGAAAAGTGGAATGAGTTTGATAACATACAAAATAATATTGAAACGCTTGACCCGAGTGAAGAGAATTTAGAGTATTGTGACATATTTGTTGATACTTATTTTGAAATTGTGGCAAAAGCAGAAGATCTACTTAAAAAATTTGAAATTCCTAATAATGTTGGTTCAAATAATCGCGACAGGGATTCTCTCAATAGTCATATAAATAATTATAATTACATGAAGGTAAAACCTCCCGAAATACCGACATTTGGAGGAAAGTTTGAAGAATGGTGTTCATTCAAAGATCATTTTAATTCACTTATTAACTCAGATAGCAATATGCCAAAAATACACAAATTTTATCACCTAAGAAGTGCCTTAACTGGTGAAGCGAGTTTATTGATACAAAACTTAAAAACTACGGAGGCAAATTACGACGTTGCATGGTCAATTATAAACAACCGATATGAAAACAAACGCATTCTAATTCAAGCGCACACAAAAGAAATTTATGATTTGGAGTCAGTTAACGGGGAATCGGCTGTCAAATTAAATAAATTCAATAATTCGTTAAAAGCACATATGCAAGCATTAAAAGCGTTAGGCGAAGATCCAGAAAAATGGGGAGCTTTACTGCTGCACGTAATTTGTAAAAAAATAGATATGGGCTCTATACGTCAATGGGAACAAGAAAATGATCACAATACAATTCCAACGGTTCAATCATTAATGTTGTGTTTGGATAAAAGATGTAAAGTATTGGAGTCGATTGAGTCAGCAAAAATCTTTTCTGGAAAAGATAGTATTGATTACATAAGTAATAAATTTTCAAAAATGCACAATAAAAAAACAGTAACTGCATTAGCAATTCATACAAAAATGCAGTGTTATATGTGTAAAAAACCACATCCTATTTATAAATGTCCAGACTTTCTATCATTAAGTCTAGATAATCGAAAAATAAAAGTAAATGAATTAAAACTATGTTTTAATTGTTTAAAAAATGATCATTTTATTGATCAGTGCAAGTCAAGGAAATGTATGAAGTGTCAGGGGGAGCACAATTCGCTCTTGTACCAGTCGAGTGAGAATGAGAACACGAGTAGCAATGCACAGATCAACATGCATACTGTAAACATAGGTCAAAAACAAACATTATTAGCAGCAGCGATAGTGAGAGTTATGAACACCACGGGAAATTATATAGATGGACGTGCATTACTTGATAGTGGTTCTCAAAGCCATTTTATAACTACAAATTTAGTAAACAAGTTGGGTTTAAAAAGGGAAAAGGTAAATGTACCTATCAGTGGTATAAGTGAGTCAAGAAATAGCATCAAATATAAAGTGACGGCTTCTATATGCTCAAAAACCGGTCCATACGCAACAACAATTGATTTTTACGTACTACCAAAAATAACTGGTTTACTACTAAATATGTCAATGTATAACATTAATATCCCAGAAAATATTATCATTGCCGATCCAACATTTAATGAACCGGTAACCGTCGATGTATTAATTGGAGCTGGTCCGTACTGGGACTTAATGTGTGTTGGTAAATTTAAAGCACATCAAAACGGACTGTACTTGCAAAAAACTTGTTTAGGATGGGTAGTTGTCGGGGAAGGCTCAGATAAGTGTGAGAACAATAAAGTTACCTGTATGTTGGTTATGGAAAATAAAGAAAGATTATTGGAAAACAAAATTGAAGCTTTTTGGGAGATTGAAGAACTTGACACAAAGCAATATTTTCCCACAGAAGAAGAAACATTGTGTACAGAGCATTTTAATAAAAATACTACGCGTAATAATAACGGTAGGTTCATTGTAAGATTACCGTTTAGAAATAATGGTCAATTAGGTTATTCATACTACTCCGCTTTACGGCAATTTTTATCGTTGGAAAATAGATTAATTAAAGATAGTAGCTTATATGATAAGTATAAATTATTTATGCGTGAGTATAAAGAGCTCGGGCACATGAAGTGTATAGGTAGCGTTAATAAAGATAAAGACGAAATCAATCGAGCCGATTATTATTATTTGCCGCATTCATATGTACTAAATGATAATAGTCGCAGCACTCGTTTACGTGTTGTATTCAACGGTACGTCAAAGACTAGTAATGGCTTATCGCTGAATTGTATTTTAATGAACGGTCCAAAAATACAGCCTAACCTACTAAATATTGTTGTACGTTTTTGTACACATAAATACGCATTTTCAGCTGACATTTCAAAAATGTATAGACAAGTATAATTACACGAGGATGATCAGAATTATCAACGTATATTATGGCGTTAAAATCAATCAGATGAAATAAATATTTATAAATTATGTACTGTGACATATGGACTCGTACCATCCGGGTTTTTAGCTATTGGTTGTATTAACCGCATATCTGAAGAAGTTAATGATTCACAGTTGAAAGAAGTATTAAAAAATGATTTTTGTGTAGACGATTGTTTAACAGGAGCAAATAGTTTGGATGAGGCTTTATGTTTACGTGATAAATTGATTGAATGTTTGAGAAAATATGGATTTGAACTATCTAAATGGTCTTCAAATAACGTTAGGTTATTATCCAATCAGAAGGATAACAAAGATATGATTACGGCAATGTTTAAAGAAAATATTAAAACATTAGGGTTGTGCTGGCAGCCAACAAATGATTATTATACATATGACATCAAACTTCCAGATCTCAATAAAGGCAATATTACAAAACGGCGTGTTCTAGCAAGTATTGCAACTTTATTCGATCTTTTAGGGCTCGTGGCACCAGTAATTATTGTTGCTAAAATATTCATGCAAAAATTATGGCAAGAGAAAATAGATTGGGACGAGCAGATACCTAAATTATTACTATATGATTAGTTAAGGTACACAAATAATTTACAGTATCTCAACACTTTAAGAATACCACGGTGGTTAGGTTATGAGTTATATGTAAAAATTGAAATACATGGGTTTGCAGACGCATCGCAAAGGGCGATTGGTGCATGTTTGTATATGCGTACAATCCACAACAATAATTTAATTACTACAAATTTAATATGTGCAAAGTTGAGAGTAAGTCCGTTGAAATGTGTCACTATACCAAGATTGGAATTAAACGCTGCAGTACTTTTGGCGAGATTTGCTAGTACTATAATTCCTGCACTGCGATGTAAGATAGACGCACATTATTTTTGGACTGACTCCACAGTTACCTTAGCGTGGATAAAATCGAATCCGAACACTTGGAAACCTTTTGTAGCTAATCGAACTGCTGAAATAAGTAGAAGAACTAATACATCTGCCTGGAGACATGTAATATCAGGTGACAATCCAGCGGACATTATATCTCGAGGTTGTGCTCCGGAAGAATTAAAAGGTAATATACTTTGGTGGAACGGACCAAGGTGGTTACAAGAGCATGAATCAAAATGGCCAAGTATGTGTACTATTGGGAATTAACTAAATGTAGTAGTGGAAGAAGAGAGGAGAAGAGTATATGATTACACTTTATTATCAACTACGGTCAATTCATTGTCAATTTTTCAAAAGTATTCGTCACTAAATAAATTAGTTAATGTAGTTGCATACATATTACGGCTTAAAAAAAATTGCATATCTAAATTAAATAAAACGCAAAAAAGTACTGGAGTTTTATCTCTAGACGAAATTAGGGAATCAAATAATTTAATATTAAAATCACTGCAAAATAAATATTTTCATTTAGACATAGAAAATTTATGTAAAATTGGTAAAGTATTGCCAAAAAGTAAATTATTCAATTTAAACCCATTTTTATGTAAAGATGGTCTGATAAGAGTAGGTGGTAGATTAGAAAATGCAAATGACTTATCACACGATCAGAGACACCCAATTATTATTCCAAAGGAGGATAAGATTACAGAGCTATTAATCATACATGAGCATAAGAGACTATTACACGCAGGATCACAAGCGGTATTAGCGTCTTTACGGTTACGTTATTGGATTTTAAATGGCCGCTCAGTAGTGAGGAAAATTATTCATAAATGTGTTGTTTGTTTTAAGGCAAGTCCAAAAAGTTATTCACCTATAATGGGTAATTTGCCATCAGCGCGCGTAGATAAGCCAGCTCGTTGTTTTGAAACTACCGGTATAGACTACGCTGGACCCTTTTTGTTGAAATGCAGTAATAGACGAAATGCAGCAGCGCAAAAATCGTATATTTGTATATTTGTTTGTTTTGCGACTAAAGCAATACGCCTAGAATTAGTCAATGATCTGAGTACCGATGCATTTCTAGCATCATTAAATAGATTCATTTCAAGACGGGGCATTTGTAGTAAGATTTATTCAGACAATGCTACATGTTTTCAAGGTGCAAATAACAAATTAAAGGAATTAAAAATTTTAATTGAGTCAAAGAATCATCTTAACAGGGTAAATCATTTTTCAAATGATAATAAAATAATGTGGCACTTTATACTCCCTAGAGCCGCCCACATGGGTGGATTATGTGAGGCTGGAGTAAAATGTGTTAAAAGGCATTTATATCGATGTGTTACTAACGTACAAATGACATATGATGAATTTTACACGCTTCTGGTACAAGTTGAAGCTTGTTTAAATTCAAGGCCAATATGTCCAATTTCCACAGATCCTTTAGATCTCTCTGTACTTACACCAGCACATTTTTTAATAGGGGACTCTTTAGTAGCTTTGCCTGAACAAGAATTATCCACATTTAAACAGAATAGATTAAAACGGTGGCAAAGAGTTCAACAAATAACGCAACGGATATGGAAGCGATGGAGTATGGAATATATTACTCAACTTCAGAAAAGAACCAAATGGAAAGAGAGTGGGAAGCAAATGTTGCAAGTCGGGTCGATGGTAATTGTAAAAGACTCCAACATACCTCCTTTAAAGTGGTGCTTGGGAAGAGTCATGGAAGTATGTCCAGGTAGCGATGGTGAAGTAAGGGTAGTTTTAGTGCAAACGGTCAATGGTCTTAAGAAACGTGCAGTGCAATACTTATGTCCTTTGCCATTCGACGAGCCGGTAGATAATGAATTTGATAAAATAAATGGTTAATGTTTCATCTAATTTTATAAAAAATATATTTGTTTATATGTATATGATATTATGAAGTTATATTTTTTATTGTGATTATTATTATTTTTTTTTTTAATGAACTTCATTTATTTATGAGCTGGAGTTATGCCATCAATATTTATTTTAATGTTTTATTTTGTGCCGTTTCCTTTTTCATTGTGAATAATTGTTTTGTGAATCCCATATTAATTATGTCTTTTGAACCTTATTGGTTCAAAGGGGGCCCTATGTTAAGACTTGTTATTATCAGTGCGTCAGTACTAGTGCGACAACGGCCGCAATAACCTATCCGCTAGCTCCGCTCAATGTAATTTAATTATAAATTGTATAGAATTTATATTTGTGAATTAATAAATCATTTTAATATTAATTACATAAAATTATATTGTTGAGAATTTCATTTTATATTATACAGTCCGCTAATTATAATAACAGAAATAAAATAACACACGAACCATTACGTGGCGTTAACAATAATTTTACTTTTATTTTCTATAATGAACATATAAACTTTTAACACAAAAATACTTTCATGACCTAAATAATAACGAATAAATTATAATAAAACAAACAGATATACATGTATATATGTAAATAGACTAAATATATAAATTCAAAGAAATAATACTATAAGGCTTATACAAGTAAGTTACTTGTTTATGTTCAATTAATAATATTTATTATGTTTTTCACAAAATTAATGTGCTTCTTTGTATTAATACAATATTGTTTTACTATTGGTTGTTGGAAATTTAAAAATCTAAAACCAAAACCAGAACGCGAACTAGAGACAGAAGCAAATCCTGACGAAGTTGCTGAACTTAATTTAATTTTTGAAACTAAAATATGGAATAATATAACTTCTATTTTTTTCGAGGGCGAACGAGCAAGAAAAAAAGTTACAGCTTTTTCTTCTACTAAACATATCTCTAAAGCGGACTTGGACACGAAAAAGATGTCTGTTTCAAAAATAGTAAGTGCTATTTACAGAAATATGTTACTTGATTTTCATGGACTTTATCAGGAAAGTTTAAATAATTGTGATAAAGAAAAATCGAAAAATTATGAAAGCAATATAAAAAATTTAATTGAAAGTTATGAGAAGTTCCAGCCATTAATAACTTGTATGGCTATTACACTAGAAAATTTGAAATGTAGCAATAATAATCCTGTACTCGTTTTTCTAAAAAATGTATTATCAAAAATTAAAAATCAGGATTCTAATGAAAAATCAACCAAAATAGACATAGATAGTTTTAAAAAAATCATTACAAGTGACATAGATCTCAATATGAATGATATTAAAGTGAATAGAACTGAAAAGACCGTGTTAAAATATATTAATCAATTAAGAAATTTTGACCAAAATAAAAGTATAATATATCTTAATCCGAATCTGGAAGGCTTTGAAGAAATAGTTAGTGAAGGTATTAGCTTGTTATGCCAAAGTTTTGGATTTGTCCAACAGTAGGTACTTGGTGATCCTCAAACAGAAGTTATCAATTGAAATAAAATGTATTATAAACATTTTTAATCCTAATATTGTATTTTTAGTCTAAATACATACATAGATTTAATTTTTAAAAGAATGACTCAAATTACTTTGTATTCATAAACTAAGGCTATTTTATTAGTTTAATAAAGAGAAAATTTTTGAAAATCATTTGAATCTAAATAAAATTAAAACAGTTACATTTATTTTAAATATTTTAAATTTATTTTTATTGTATACATTTTTTTGTAATATTTAACTTTTTATGACTTATATCTTAATATTAGATATACTTTTTATTTATTTATGATTTTTTAATAAACCTCAGATACTACATTGTTTTCTGTACGCGGTAACTTTAGTCATTGATAATATTTTCTGTTACAAAAATGAATAAAATTAAAAATATATAGATTTGTTAACTTTATTATGTGTTTTTAAGATTTATGACAATTTTATCAAAAATCAATTGTCATTACATATTATTGGATTACGAAAAAAAATTTTTGTTAGTACAAATCATATTTTAATTTTAATATGAGGAACAAAATTTGGTTTAGTACGTTATTATTCAATGGAGAGTTCTTATTCTATTTTTTTTTTTTGTTAATAAGGTATTTAAATTAATTGGAAATAATTGAAACCGTCTAAAATTGTTTGTATTTAATCCAGAAGTTTGAATAAATTTCGTATCAAAAATACTTATTTATGTTTTTAGAATTATTTCATATGAAATGTGATTTTTTTTCTATTGCATAAGCTAGTTAAATATGTATGTTTCCATTTAAAAAATAAAGTTGAAACCCCTTTAAGTTACAAAGGGATTAACATGTAATATTATATTATTAATTATACATGTATATTACATATTATAATTATACAAAATCACTAAAACAAGGTTTTCTTCTTTAAATACAATATAACCAGCTAATTATGAGATAGAATCTGATTGCTGTACAGATTTAAAGGATTACCTATGTTAAATTAAATTACATTCAAAGTAAATTTAATTTTGGTATCACTTTTAATTTGAGTTTCTTTGATCACTAAATAATAATGTTCAATTTTTCTTATCTTGGAATTAAATGTCAATTAATAATTTAAACACAAAAGACTTTTTATTTTAACAGTAAATCCAACCTAACTTAAAATATTTTGACACGGCCCGCGTCGCTTCGTTATACACGATGCCCCGCGACTCGTGCCACCTTTATCAGCCGTCGCCCTACTATGAGTATTTGACTGACCAACACCGCGTGTTATACGCTACGGTGTAAAGTCCAGCAAATGCCGC